AAAGGTCAAAAAAATCAAAGACACGAAATAACATTGATACATCAACTTTAACGAATCCAAAATTAAAAATAAATACTTAATTTATAACTACAAACATAGAAATATATAAGTAAATCAATTTTTAGTATTAATTTCAAATGCAATAATACTTTTAAGATTTTTTATAATTAGATAATCAAGTAATACTTTTATATATTAGTAACTTTTTTCTATTTCTTCTATACTATGTTTTCTGTTAGCAGTTTAACTTCTACAAGTATTTATATATAATGCTTTAACATCTACTTCAAAGTGAAAACAATTTATAATATCTTAAGATTTAAAAGCTAGTATGTTTTCAACTAATAATATAATAAAATTCACAAGATATAATTTACATGCTTTGAATATTTCTAAAAAGGTTAGACAATTTTGGTTATAATAAATTAGCTTTACAATATGAATACAATTATTTACACACTTGTTAGTATAAACGGTAAATAGGCATATACTGGCTTCATACATAGAACAAACAACAAGTAGTTTATTTGATTTATTAATTCTTATAAGACGAAGAAGTTTCAACAGAGTAGTTCTTTTAGAGCTAAGCAAACATCTTCCATATTAGTAAATATCATGCCAATTCGCAGTACATTACTTGACATTGTAGTGGTTTGTTATAAGCAATTTTATACAAAGAAAATAAAATTTATTAAATTTAAAAAATTTCTTTTCTTATTTATAATTACTAATTTACAATCGATCGTTACATTTTTTTATGAGCTTAATAATTACATTTATCGATGCTTAAATTTCTTATGTAATAACGATCAAGCCCTTATATATAATCATTTTTAATTTGGGCCAATATTTCACTTTCCCTTATTTGTAAATTCACCGATAATTACTTTATAGTAATCTTTTTATAGCAATAATTTTTTAGTCAAAATTGCGCGGACGCGGACAGTCCCGAACAGTGTCCCATTTGATTTCAAAAAAAATTCAATTTATTAAATCTGTATAATAACACAATAGAGTAAATACAAAAATAAAAGAAAAAAAAAAAAATAACAAACATTTTATTTTTTTTTTAAATAAAGTTTTCAAAAAATTATACAAAAAAAAAAAAATTTTTTTTTTAATGTCTTTTCAAAACAAGTAAATGTTTTTTATATTCTAAACCGATTACAAAAAATTAATGTCCATTAAAAGAGCAAACCATACCGAAACAAATATATTGTCCCTAATTAAGTAAATATTATGTACAGCTTGCTTTACTTTATATTTCTAAAATTTACGTTATATAAATGTTATAGTATATTCTATTTTTTTTTTTTTTTTAACATTGAAAAAATATGAATTTACTAAATTCAATATTTTATCAAAAAAATTACTAAATACATCCCAGGAAATTAATGATTCATTATACAGAATAAGATCATGTAATCATATATTCTATTCTATTCTATTCCAAGGAGTTAAAAAGCCTAATGATGAAGCCCATAATGAAGGTCTAACAACATCAGAACCATGTGGACGTGTGTTTGTTTCAACATTACTTTTAGCCTTATAAATGTTGTCAGATTTGTTCATAATATATGATGATGGAGTTCTAAAATTTGGTGAAGATCGACGACGGACAACTCGTGCTCTATCAGTAGAATTATTTAATTGAGCTCTTGAACTATCCCTTTCATCAACTACGCCATCTTCATTTGGAGAATCAATTTGAAAATGAATTCTACTAGAAGAGATAACTGGACAACTTTTACGGTATTCGTTCGTAAATTTTGATGATTCAGCGTCACCTATCCCCAATAATTCTTGAAGTTCATATAAAAGTGATATTGTAGGAGAAGATGGAGATGTATCAACATTATTGTTAGTTGTAGAATTATAAGTAGTATGTGGTACTATCCCATTCTGCCCATCCTGAATTGAAAGTAATAATCCAAGGCCTTTTCGTTCGAAAGGTTTTGGTGTAGTTTTTTTATTATTTACACAATCTTTTTTTGCAATTACCAAAAGTTCTTCAATAACTTCTCGGACACGTTCACCATTTTCACAAATCAATGATTTTGATGGCGTTATTGTCCTTGAATTCATAGTTGATTCTGTTTTCGAAGAATTTTTTATATTCGAATTTACTGAAGTTGGTGTATTTGGAGAATTTTTTAATTTGGGTCCCATAGAATGTTGTGTTTTTAGTTTTGGATCTAAAACCGTTTGTATCTTTAGTTTTGGATCCATTAAAGTTTTTATTTTTAATTTTGGATTCGTTAAAGTTGATGTATCAATGTTATTTCGTGTCTTTGATTTTTTTGACCTTTTTGATGATGTATTGCTGATGGTTGTATTTTCTAATCCTTCTAACCTTGTCCCTGAATCTTTATATTCTATAGATATATTAGAAGGTGATGACTGTATTAATATATTATTATTATTATTATCTATAGATTCATTTGAGAAATTCTCGTATTGAGTATCTGATTTATCCAAGAAATTCTCATATTGAGTATCTGATTTATTCAAGAAATTTTCGTATTGAGTATCTGATTCGCTATAACTTGTATCTATTAAATTATTAAAAAATTTTTAATATTTTTTAATATAAATAAATATTCTATGTTTAAATGAAATTGTTGACAAACCTAATTGCGCATTTGGCAGAACTTTAGTTCCAACAGCTTTTGTAGAACATTCGAGAGCTTCTTGTGCGTCTCGAAGTAGTTCATCTATAAGAAGACATATTCGTTTAAACCGAACATCATTATCTTTTGCGATTTCTACTAAGTCCGTCTGGAGATAAAAAAAAAAAAATTAGTTTAAATTTGGTTATGTTTATAATTATAAAAAAGATTAGTAAAATTGCATAAAAACCTACCTCTGTTAATGGTGTAGACGACTCATCATTGTCGGTAGAATAAATCTCGGACATAAACAAGTCATTGCTAATAAAAAAAAAAAAAAAAAAAAAGAAAAACAAACAAATTAAATATAATAAATAATAATGGCCAATAAATCATAATAAACATATAATAAAATAACATAATATTAGATATAAATACACTTTTAGCATTCTTTTTAACTCTATTATTTCTGCAGCTTGTTTTTTATTGGTTTCATCTAATTCAGCATTTATTGTCATCAAAGATTTTATAGAGATTTCCAAATCAGCTATCTAAACGCGATGAACAATTAACATATATGTTGATAGTTAATATTTAGCCATTCTATAATATAAGAAGGCCTAATCTATTCGTGATTTCTAAATTACTTAACAATTTAATGATGCGTTTTTGGGGATTATTATTTTGCACTGATTTGATCAACCATATCATTACATAAAATTATGAATAATAATAACTCACCTTTC